AGCAAATGGAAGCCGCGTAATCCTCAGCACAGATGAAGCCGAGAACCAGGCAGACTACGTGAATGCAGCTTCAATTATCGATGTAAGTCTTAAATGAAACTATATAATGCGAAAACTGTGCCGGATACGACTGCTCAAGGTAGAATCAATGTACTTAGATTAGCTTGAGTTGCTGGTCGAAATGCCAAAAATGTAAATAAAAAGATCTATGAAAAGCAATTGTTGTTAAAGTTATTTTCTTTGTAGTCAATTACCTAATCAGTTGGCACATTTTCACGAATTTATGACATGACATTCTCGTTTCTTCACAGCTGGTAGATGGTGCCAAGGGAGACTACATTAATGCTTCATTTGTGCATGTAAGTTGCTCTGGGGAACTTCAAGTTTCATATAAAAACTCTATTAAATAAGAAAGACCATTTGGCTTGACCTGTGGTTTTCTGTCTTATAGACCTATAGAGAACATAACGCATTCATAATGACACAAGCTCCCATGGAAAACACGATTGCAGATTTCTGGAGAATGGTTATGGACTACGAGATAGGAACCATCGTCATGCTGAACAATTTGGAAGAAGAATGTGAGGTGGGACATTCATACTAATTTGAATTTCTTAATGAAGATATATCATTACTTTACCTTCAAGATTCTTTTCTTCAATATATTTTTGTCAATATTATTAATTTTATTGTACTGTTATTAAAATATCTGCTGATACCTTGCACGCTTACAAATCAGTTTTAACAAGCGGCCAAATCTTGTATACAAAGAATTTTCTTTTTTTATGTTTTTGTTTTTGTTTTTGTTTTTAGTCTTTTCCTCAATACTGGCCGCAGCATGGAACTAAAAAGTATGGAGATGTCACTGTTGAACTGGTACAGACCAAAGACGTGGATAATATAATTGCAAGACAGTTTGAAGTTACAAAGCAAGGGGCAAGTAACGAAATATTTGATTTGATTTGCAAAATAATTGAATAGCTTTCAATTCACTTAGACCGCAACTACAATTAAGAGCAGTGGTCGAACAACACATGTACCGTGCTAAAAACATTTGAGTCAACTTTGTTTAATTGTTGTGGTAATATAAAAAAACTGATTATTGGACGTACCTTGTGTGGTGGGTGGATTAAGCCTGCTGTCTGCACCCCTA